TTGAAAATTCCTAATTTCAACCATTATGTATATTCATACTATCAAAATGTGAAAACCCAGAATATGAGAATCTCACATTTGTTAATATATTTTTTCTTTGTTTCTTTTTTCCTAGTTTTTGTCTTTCATATCGATGAGCTACAAACCTGATATGCAACTGCCTACCTTTTGGTGCAGTCTCTTTGTCCTTTTTTATTTCATCTTCGAAGAATTTCATTCTGTCTTTTAATGTCATCTTCTTTGGGACCTCACTGGGTGCCTCTTCCACCTGCTGAGAAAGAGAGAAACCTCTAGAATATTTGCTGGGTAACACATGTGGAGGTGGGATAATTCCATCAACTACTATGCATAAGCTTCAAAACCATGTACTTGTCTGTATTTTAGTATTTAAAGTATCACTACAAGAAAAGGGATTTGCATTTAGAAAAAGAAAATCTTCAAAAATAATTGAAAAGAAAGGAAGTCTAAGACAGGTTATACAAAAGAAATAAAGAAATGACTATAAGTAAATCACTTTCCATTTTATAAAACTACCTGTGACACAGTTCTCCTAATGGAAATTCCATCTTAAGGCACACAAAAGGATAATTTAAATATTAATATCTAACCAAGATAAGGTCAATATAGCAAATCAGAATCCTTGTGGCTACCACGTTCCTATTACATACAAGTTGTAGTGGTCACTACAACACCTTTTTGCCAATATGCATCAAAGTACATATCAAAATAAAACATCAGGCATGTTAGCAACAAGAAAAAATAAGTAACAAAAATGAGCAAAAGTGGGATTGAAAAAAAAGCAACATTTTTTTTGATAAGAGCATGATCTTTAATATGTCATGTATGTAGATGAGTAAAGAACTCTCAGAATCTAACTTGCAATTAAGACAGTGTCCTTTCTACAGCTCATGCAGAGTCAAATCAGATATAATTTGCCATGCTCAAAAATTATGAACTAAAATAAGTAATTCTTCATTTTCACTACAAAAAGAAATATCTGAAGAGGTAAATACACTGTATCAAAAATCAAACTGTTAAGCTTATCACTGAAATTTATCAAAAAGCCTAATTCATTATAAAACAGTCACAATGAAATAGCACAAGCCTTAAATTTATAAATCAAATCCATTCATTTTAATTTGCTGATGAAATGCAAATCTTTATATTTATTCAGAAAACTTCAACTACCAAGACGATTATAAGTAAATATAAACCTCCAATCTTGAGTTACTACTCATGAGAACAATACAAACTGGAAGCCGAAATAACAGCATAATCTCAGAATCTATGGACTTTGCATGCATATTAGTTATAATTTCTGCAATGCAATTGAGCTAGTTTCTATAGAAAAAATAAAGTTACATTTCTTATTTTTCTGAAAAAAAAAGAAATGGGAAAATTAAACAAATGGGAAAAAAACATACATTCATGCAGCAAATGCTGTTTCAAGAAATAGATAAGAACCCTTAATAAAAGAGATGGGGGCCCCAAGGCAAACAAGTGAAATACACAAATCTACTCTCTCTTGTCATGGCTAGAGAAGGAGAACACCATGCACAATTACTCTCTCTTCGCACCCCGCCCACATACCTTCACCGGGCTGTTTATTTGGTTAGCGCACATCACCAGCTCCTCGCCACTTTTGTGACTATCTATATTCAGATCTCATCTAAGCTCCTCCTTCTGTTGAGTACCTCACCTAGTCGTAACTAAGGAGGGGGCGATGGGCAAGTAACAGGCGGTGCCTGGAAGCGATGGGGGGACGGGGGATACCATTTGACCCACGAATACGCCCCCATTGATGCTTCTGGCAGACCCAAGGCAAGGCTATGGGAACTAAGCACCGGAGGACCAGTTGCCAGACGGTGTTAGTTGGACATTGAATTAAGTCCAGGGCTCTTACTATCGATGAAGAGTGGCTACGGTGCTGTGGATGGGTTACAAGACTGCTTGAAAAATAGGAGTGTAATCAAAATCTTTGACGTCAAAAACTTTCCACCTTCACGCATTTGCATATAGCTCGTCATACATGAGGTTCTATGAGTTTCCCATATTTCATATCTTAAAATATAAAAATATGTTAATCCATCCTACTCTTTATACAATCATAAGGTAAAAAGTTTGGCAAATTGGACAATCCGATCACGGGATTGTTGGCAATGACATCGCAAAGTTTCCATAATATATTGCAGCCGTCTGCTCCTTTTAGTAGTTTTGCCAGCAAACATGACACACCTAAAAGCTTGCTATTTTTGATATGATTCTTTAAAAATATACAAAAGTATGAAGATTTCCTTTCCCTTGAGTGCTATTACCCTAAACCGGTTTTACCACAGAAATGATGCCCCCACTGAAATAAACCGCTAGAAGAAAAACAGCGGGCTAGTCCGTGATATGATGTCACCGGCGCTACTATTGTCGCTTCAACAACCATGCGTTTTATGGACATCCATACACACAGCAGCAAGGGGTTATATGGAAATTCATATATACTAAAATA